GTTTTTTAGATTTCCACATATGAGCGATCTCATATGGTATTTTTCTTTCTCTTTCTGCCTTTGAATTTTTCTTGATTAGTCTTGATGGTCACTTTTTTTACTCATGCAAAAAACCACCCTGTAGCTTTGTTGATTTTCTGTTTATTTGGGTTTTGCTTTTCTCTCTTTTTAGAGATCTAGAGATTCCTTCTCATTTCTTTGGGTTTTTTTATTCAGCTTCTTAAGGTGGAAGCTTAGATCGTTGATTTTCAGCTCATCTTCTTTTCTCATACGTATGTTTTAGTACTGTAAATTTTTCTCTGAGTGCTACTTTAGCTGCACCTCTTAGATTTTGATATGCCTGTTTTCATTATCATTTAGTTAAAATGTTTTCTAATTTAATGGTTATTTGGAATGTTGCTTAATTTTTAAGCATCTGGAGATTTTCTAGTCTTAACAAAAAATAGATGCATTGAATGAAGAACTAATAAACTAATTTGAGATTCCTTCAGGGAACCCACTAGGTTTGTTGAAAACAGCACACATTTTGGAGTTAGACATTTCTAGATTCATAGTTTGGCATCACTCTGTGATCCTGAATGAAATGTCTAACCTCTCTGAACTTTAGCTTCTCTGTCACTTAAATATGGATTATGAACTTACCCTTATCAAAGTGTGGTGAGAACTACAGAAGATGACAGAAACTGACAGTCTAGCACAGTGTCTCAAATGTAAGCAGTCACTCAACCAGTGTTGCCACCTTCCTGCCGGCCCCTGGCTGACAATCCAGTGTCCTTCTGGGGCCCTTGCAGCTGCAGCCACTGCAGTCCATCTGCAGATTCTTCACTTAGGCACATCCTCATGGGATGCAGTCTTGTCTGGACGTGAGGATGGATGCTTGGGACCAGTTCTGATTAAGTATCAGGCTTGCCCCAAATTTCAGTAAACTCCATCTGCAGATTGTCTTCAGAAACAGGTCCCTGCTAATCCACTGGGTGGCCTGGCTGTTTTCCTCTCAAGGCTCTGCCTCATTGTTGGGCTCCCGTGCTGATTTCTGGACCCTCTAATGTCCTTTCCTTGTTCACCAGGACACCCCTTGAAGTGGCTTCCCTGGGTCAGAAAAATTTTGTTCTTTATGTCCCCTTTCAAAGATGAAATGGACAGAGTTAAAATTAATTTGTGAGACTCTTCCCCCAGCAAGATTCATTTGAGAGTTAGGGGTTACAGCTGATGGAGACCAAAGAGGATGTCGGTCCCAGGTTTTCACCCCACACTGCAGAGAGCTGTGGGCAGCCCTGGAGGTGGCCAGGGCCTGAGGTGCTGTTTTCTCCTGGCACCACCTGGTACCCTCATTGCCGTGATGCTTCATCCCTGCCTCCGCTCTCTCTGTAGTTCAATCTTGTACCTTTGCCATTGACCATGCATCTCTAGCCCTAAGGACTTCCTGGCCTGCATCCATAAACGGATGTTCCTCAATCCTCTCATAAGTGACACCTCTACTAAATTATTGGTTGCTCATAAATCTCATATCTTACTCGCAAATCTGCTGATGTCAGTCTCCCCACTTCATTCTTGTTTGGGCTAGACAAATCCTCTTACCATCCCAATTTTCCCTCACCATCGTACTTACCTAAAGGGCACGGGAATGACTCAGAGCCTGACTTTCCTTTCTGAACTCCCACGGCTCAGTACTTTCCTTCTGCAATGGTTCATGACTTTATAATATGTGAAGCACACACTCAAATACAGTTTTGAAATCACAGGCCGAATACTTGAAAGAACACACGCATACCCCCCCACACATACTTTTTGTTATAAAAAGCGGAGTCTTTTAATCCCCAATGGGTCTTTCTTTAGCTCTGCCTCACTGTTTGCATGTTTGACCTGTTTGGTGCCACATCAGTGTCTCTTATGTGCCTGACAGACAAAGCCAAGAATATACAAAATATTTTGGCAAAACACATTCTTTCTTCGGCGTGACAGCTTTGTTGGAGACGAGCTCCATCCACGTCCACACATTCCCCAATAGAGGGGCTGCAGCTGGGGCCACGTTGATTCACTTCCTGGAATCCCGTTCCCCCTTAAACTGGCTCCCAGGACTGTGACTTGAGTATCTCAGGCAGAAGCTGTACTGCACAGAACGACTCTGTTTTTGTGGGTTTTTAAAAGGCAAGTAGTTACATACATGGTTAAAAGTTATGTATGGCAAATTAAAATTGTATGAAGTAAAATGTTAAAGTCAGCCTAGAGTATGATACATCTTTAAAGGGTATTTTATAAGTGCAGTGTTAATCTAACATTTTCCCACCATGTTTTAAAAATATTTAAGCAGTTAATTTATTTTTATTACCTTAGTCATCATTTTAATATACATATTTTTATCAGTCTATCAGGGACTCAGTAGCTGGGTGCTACCCGAGAGGCAGTGGTTAGCTGGCCCTCAGCTCACACACATAAATGCATAGAAGGGCTTGAACTGGTCCCTGACAGAGCATTTCTCCTTGAACTTGATTCACATACGTTCACTTTGCCACTTTATCCTCTGATCAAAGTGCAAACAGCACAAGGTAGTGAAAACTGTGGGATTAAGAGACAAGTGATCCAGTGAACTGGTTCATTAACATCTGTGAATCTTCAGTTTGGAATCTATTTGTAACAGATATAAGTGAATTACACAAATAATAAATGATTAATAAAAGACTTTGTGGAATCATTATTTTAAAAACAATTGTGCCTGCAAATGTTGCTTGATCTCACTTGTGTGTAGAATCTGAAAGAGTCAAACTCATAGTAACAGAAAGTAGAATGGTGGTTACCAGGGCTTGGGGGGTGGGGAGAATGGGGAGATACTGGTCAAAGGATGTTGTAAACTCTTAGTTATAAGATGGATAAGTTCTGGGGACCTAATGTACAGTGTAGTGAGTATAATTAATAATACTGGATTGTGTACTTGGAATCTGCTAAGATAGCAGATCTTAAGTGTCCTCACCACAGACACACACACACAAAGGTAACTGTGAGATGATGAATGTGCTAATGGACGTAACGGTGATAATAATTTCACAATATTTACATATACCAAAACATCACATTGTACATGTTAAGTGTATATTTATTTGTCAATTATATCTCAGTAAAGCTGGAGGAAAAAAAACACAGAACCTTCAACAGTTATCTATGGGGTTGGGGGAAGACTTAAACAAGCCTGGAGATGCACTTCCAAAGGCAATACGTCTTCTCATCTACCCCACCCCAAGGTCAAGTGAGCTGGGCAGCGGAGAGAGGATGGGTCATCAACCTGGGTGTGACTTGTGGGTGGGAGAGGTGGAAACAGATGCCCAGAGGAGTCTGAACTCACAGTCTGTTGAAGACCTGAAAACCCTCACCCATTTCTCTTTGTCCTTGGAGATGTTAAAGAAGGAATAGCGCTGTTTGCTTTCTAGGAAGAATCCCAGCTTTGAGAAACACATGATGACACACCTTTGTTCTGTCAAGAAAACTCACTTGAGACCTCCCAGGAGTCTATGTGATGACATAGTGAAATGTGTGAGTCTTAATAAGAAACATAAATGTGAAACAACACTTAAAATCTTGATGCACTGTGCAGACCTGCAGGAAACTAACACATGTTGTACTTGACAACAGTCACATGTGTATCAGCCAGTGATCTCAGCTGCAACAGCTGATACAACTCTGGCTGGAAATACATTTTCTAGGGAATATCAATCAGAGGCTTCTAGGTTCTCTGGGGAGAGGGGGGCAGGAAAACAATTTGGGAGCCATTTAATCAAGAACAATACCCTAAATCTCTCCACAGACCAGTCAGGTAGAGAAGCCATCCTTGCCCTAAGGAAACTGAGCTGTCACTTTGTCGCTCCCAAACATGACTACTGTTGTTTCTGGGAGTAGAAAAACCAAAGTGGATGGCACATGGTGGAGGCACGTGGAGCCAGGCACCTGCCTCCTTGTCCCCCCAGCCTCACATTCATGATCTCACAGCTCCATCTGATGTCCAGGACCTCATTCTGTAAAATGCTTTGAACAGAGCTCAGTTTCTCTTCCTGTAAAACGGAGGTGGTGGCTGAGCTCACCTCTTTGGTTGGTTGAGAATTAAGCAAAATGACAGAGGTACAATTCTCAGAGCGGTGTCTAACACGTACAGCACTATCAAGGTTAGTTTTTTAAATTAAAAAAAAATGTTGGAACCTGTTTTTATTCTGGAGGAAATTGCTTGACAAATCTACCTGGTTTAGAAGCTGAGACCTGAGACACTGGGGCCAATGAGAAGAGGCTAGGGAGTGGCCTTCGTGCAACCAGCGGGTCCGCCACACTCTCTCTCATCCTAGATGAACCTTGAATGGTCTAGATGGGTGGCACAGGCCACCTGAGAGGACTGGGCCAGGGATCCTCCTCAGACTCTCCCCTAAGAGCTGGCTCCCACCTGGACCTGGATCTCGACAAGTGGGACCAACAGA